TAATATGACATCTATTTTGGGGAAAAAATGCCCTGCCTTGTACCTCGGTTTTTATGAGGTGAATAGATGATATACAGACAGAAATTTTCTGGAATTGCTGGGTGTCGTTTCACACCGAGGGCATTTACATAAAAATACAAATAAAATGTCATGAAAGGAAAGGCCTGATTCTCACCTCTTCAAATGAAACAGGAAAAAAAAGTGAATATCATCCCTGGAATTGAATATCTAAAGTTAAAAAAGGATGTATATCAATTTAGACTGTTGCAAAAGTGAACATTTCAAAGAGAAATGGAGAAAAGCTAAATTTGCTTTAAAAAAAAGAAAAAACTTATCTTGTACCTTTTGATGTTAACGGCTTTTCTTTGTATTAAAACAGAAAAGGCTTTCCTGAACCACTGTGTCGTGTTCTTTACACACATTCAGAAAGTCTGCTGTGGATATTTGTAGGCGAAAAAACACCCAAGGCAAAATTCTCACGTTTAATTTTACAACTGGTTTAATCGTCACAAACCTGTGCTTTAGGAACATGTTAGCTCAATACAAAACTTAAATCATTATTGACAAGTTTTACTAGATTTTAAATGTTTAACATTAATTTAATGGAATGTTTTAGTTGTGCTACACGTAAACCTCCAGCAGAAAAATTCAACTTTAGCACTCTTTAATGTTAGGAAGGAAAAGTTTGCATATTAAATTACCAAAAGATGCACTTTTCATAAAGGCATTCATTCAGTTACAATGTATAAAATGTGAAACGAAAAACGGCACTTACAGTTGACGTATAAATGAAAACATTCAGAGGTCTTTAAAACAGAAGTTTTAGTTATAATTGTGAACATCTGATTATTTATTGACATTTAAAACAAAAAAAGCACATTCGTTCATACAGCGGTGAATCGTTACAGAAGGCAGACGTTTGTATCAATGCAACTAAATCAATCAGTTTTTGCACGCTGGTGGCTGCAGGATGTCGAGACGATGTTTCTGTAAGAGACTTCCTGTGGAGGATCTTAGAGCACTGTGAAAATGATTGTTGTGGTTTATAAAAAACATTCAGTCTTTTATCCCCTAACCAAACGCACACACAGATCAGTGTGTCGCTTCAGCTTCTTCAGACTGCTGTGATCCTGCAGGGCTGTAAGAGTTAAAACCCAGCCAGATGTTCTGCTGATCTGGCAACGCAGCTCACTTTGAGGATGGATCAGGACCCGTGGACCCTTCACACGAAGCCCCCGTTTTCCCAACATCATCTGGTGGACAACATGACAACATCAGCTCCTGATGGAACCATTTATAATCCTCTCAGTTTGATCAGAACTGACGGACGGCTGTGAGAGGGTCCTACACATTTACAGTTTCATTATTCCAGACTTCTGCACTCATTGTCAGATTTGATCAAACTAAGAGCAGACTGACTACACAACATTTGAGAAATTATCACATATTTATACAGAGATTCTCGTGGTATCGTCCACTGTAAATAAAAACTATGACTTTAGTATTGTGCAAACACTTCTCAAATTTTTCCCTTTAAAGAGTCAAATTTTGGAACAAAAAAATAGGCCTAGATCAGGGGTCTGCAACCTGCGGCTCTGGGGCCACATGTGGCTCTTTGGTCCCTCTGCAGTGGCTCTTTGAAATTGTGACCAAATAACAGATTTTTTATACTCACAACACTAATAAATTGTATGCATATATGTGATCAGTACTACTAATACAAAAAATAAAACATGTTAGCTCATGCTAGCCTGTTTTCTACCTAAATAATCCAACTTCTTTCTATAATCTTTCTCTCAAATCCATCAGGGTTATCTTTAAACACCTTTAGTTCTACATAAAAATTAGAAAAAAAAGTCTGACCAGTTCAGCTAAACTAGTTTTTATGAAATTTTGTATAATCTATAGTATTTTTCTTGTGCATGAATACGATTTTTTCTTTAGTCGAAGTGTAAAAATAATAATAAATAATAAATTTCATAATATATTTTTTAGTTTTATATTGTCACCTCCACTGGCCATAAAGGTTCACGAAAAGGCCTCGAAAAGGCCCACGGACCACCAGTTGATAATCACAGTTGTAGCTTATTTTGCGGCTCTGGACACTTTTATTAGTGAGACGAGGAGCAGAAATGGTTCTTTTGTTTGTAAAAGTTGCAGACCCCTGGCCTAGATTAAAACATTTGCACACTAATCCATTTTATTTTTAATAAACTGGAAGTAATCAGGCTGTTTAAACAGTAAATTTAGATTTTTATTCTTAGAAAAGATGTTTTCCAAGATTTCTAAATCTTATTTTCTGAATCTTATTTTCTGGAAAATACAAAAACTAAATTTCCGGCTTAAGTTAGATTAAAATGAGTAATCTTGACCCCATTATCCTCTGACCTTTACCTTTCTTCTCCTGAGTTTCCTCGGCTGCCGTCTTGTCAGCTCTGAAGAAGATCCTCGCGCTGCTTAATGAGAAGTAAAGCAGCTCAAACTCCTGTCATGAAAAGAAAGAAAAAGGATTTAAKGAATAACTGGACACAGTTTTTAAGTCTACATTTCACATTTTTTTTCTCTCAAACCAGGTTTTAAAAAAGGAACCGAGCTGCTCTACCTGCAGGTAGACATCCAGCCTCTTCTGCGTGAGATTCATGGTCTGAAGCAACTTCTCGTCCTGACCAGCGGACTGTACGTTCTGCTCCTTCACCACTGCGCTCAGCTCCTTCCTGTACTTGTCTCGGACCGCTTGGAACCAGTGGAGGGAGTCAAACTCCAGGTACTGATCCAGCAGCTTCAGAATGTAGGCCACACCTAAGTCAAAAGAAAAAGCACTCAGAAATAGTCTCAAAATGAGTCTGTTTATTGATTCTGCGTGTGTCTTCACCCATTGCAAAGCCATCGTCTGTAAAAGCGGCTCCAGTTTTATTCTTCTTGTTTAGTTTCTCCTTGCAGCTGATGGAGTGCTCCACAAAATTCACAGTCTGGGAGTGMGATTAGTTGTATGTTAACGATTATTCATTTTTTGCGGGGGGTGAAAAAATAAAACAAAACTTCAGGCAGCACCGACCAGAGGGGGTACGATCATGTAGAAGTTCCTCAGGTGCATGTTCTTTACGCTGCGAAACTCTGGCGCGAACACGGCCACCAGCTTCTTGAAGTACTCCGTGCCCTCGGCAGAGTTGCTCGTCAGATCGCTCAACACTGAATCCAGAACGCTAAGAATAAAAACACAACTACCGTAAAGGAAGGGCTGTGTGAAGAAGAAACAATTTGTCTGTATTTATTAAGCTTTGCTGCCCTCTGCAGACAAACAATAGAAACAACCTTAAAAAAATAAATAACTGATTTTAAATGAGGAAGCACCCAGAAATTAATAAATCAGTCAAGTCAGTTTTAAAGTGCCTGTGACGTGGATCTCATTCAAATACAAAACGTAAAAGAACACATCTTTATATTTAAGAAACTTGGCATAATACACACAATTTTACCCATTTTGTCACATAACTGGCAGATTCTCTTCAGAATTTGACTCAGCCAAAGTGAAACAGGAAGTGACATCAAACGGGAACTCGTTAAAAATTAAACTTTTTTTTCTTTTCTTTATTGTAACATTATTATTTCAACTCTGACTCTTCATCTCTTTGTTAGTGACTCAAAATAATCTAAAGAAACATCAGATTCTTCTCTACAATCTGTGTTGTTCGCCTTGTAGCAATGCTCTGTTTGGATGCAGACATTCCTCTCTGACATCACTTCCTGTTACTTCACATGCAAATATCTCAACAACTGTTCATCTTAGCAGTGTAAAATTACTTTTGCAATATTGTCTTTCCAAAAATGCATTCATATTTATTGCCAAGATTTGATGTCATGGGCACTTTAAGTTTCTACCTCGCAGCCCTCTGGGTCTCCTCTGACAGTCCTTCCTCCTTCACAAGCTCCTCGAAGTTGACGATATCCTCCAGATCCGGGACAAATCTGTAGATAACAAAGAAAGCTGAATGAAATGTAACCAAACGTTAAGAATTCTCACACTTTCTTTAACTTGCAGTTCACAAATAATGGACTGACACTTTGCTTCTGAACGACTCTTTTACCTGATAGCGCTGCTGCAACAGTGGAGACCCCCAGAACGGATCATACGCACGTAGCCCATGGCGTTGCCTGAACATAAGCAGAATTAAAAAGAGCTGCCGTTTCCTACAGGCAGAGTTGTAAAGTAACTAAGTACAAATACTTTGTTACTGTACTTAAGTAGAATTTTTGGGTATCTGTACTTTACTTGAGTAATCATTTTTCAGCCTACTTTTTACTTCTACTTCTTACATTTTCACACAATTATCTGTACTTTTAACTCCTTACGTTTTTACACTGCAAAAACTGTCCATCTTACCAAGTTTTAAAATCTTATATCAGCCAAAAAGTCTTTTTGAT